AATAAAAATCACTAGATGAGAAGAAAACACTGTTTTTTCTAGTGGATTCAAAGTTATATAAAGGCCTGTGATCCTGGTTTTCAGGAGGCAGAGGGAGGAAGACCGTGAGTTTAAGACCAGGCTGGGCTACAAAGTGAGGCACACATGCATGTGCACACACACCATCTCCAAACGAGAACCACGTGGAACGAAGAGACAAAAAGATGAGGATGGCCCAGTGGTTAGTGAGAGTGCCTGTCTAGCGTTTGTTTTGTTTTGTTTGATTTTTGAGACAGGGTTTCACTGTAGCTTTGGAGCCTGTCCTGGAACTCACTCTGTAGACCAAGTTGGCCTCGAACTCACAGAGATCTGCCTGTCTCTGCCTCCCCAGTGCTGAGATCAAAGACGTGCGCCACCACCACTGGGTCTGTCTAGCGTTTGTGAGATCCTACCATTCCTGAAGATGGACAGGAATCCATCAGGATTAGTACAGCAGCTCTCACCACCACAGGACTCTCCAATACAAGGTCAAAAGACCAAACCTAAGAAGTCAGCATTGAACTGAGAAGAAAATAAGCATGGTGATATTTTATTTGTGCTGCAATGTCATTTTATTTGTATGTTAATAAATAAAGTTGCCTGGGGGTCAGAGCTAATAGCAAGCCATAGCAGAAGCCGGCGGCACCTTTACCCGATCACATGGCAGGCAGAGTCTGTGTGTTCAAGGACACAGCCAGCTTGGAGACACACGGCTTTAATCTCAATACCAACCATAGAGACCTGGAAATCTGTATAGACAGGTAGTGACGAGGAAGTCATGTGGTTGGGTTTACAACCAATGAGAAGGCAGAAGAGAAAGTCAATAAAAAGACAGACAGACAGGAAGTAGGTCTCTTTCTCAGGGGAAGGACGGCAGCACCGGGTGGTAAGAAGGCGGTCTTGGTCTCAGCTCTTAGCTACTGCTCTCTGGGGCTTTTAACTCTGCATTTGGCTCTGTGTTTCTTATTTAATAAAACCATTCAGAATTACATCTACAAATAAGGATCCAGGAGACAGGGACTTTGTGACGCTCGCCTGAGCAACCTGGTCCTGCAGAGTTCTGCTGAGAAAGGGGAGCCGGACGGAAAGCTGTTTGCCAAGAAGGCAAAGTCTGGGGCAGAAATAGTTTAACACACAGCAAAACTGTAAACCTCCACTGTTGTCTAGAGGTAGTTTTGACCCGTAAGACTTCTCACGGCAGTATTTAAAATTTCAGTATCTGCCAGGCAGTGGTGGCGCACGCCTTTAATCTCAGCACTTGGGAGGCAGAGGCAGGCAGATCTGAGTTCTAGGTCAACCTGGTCTACAGAGTGAGTGCTAGGACAGCCAGGGCTACACAGAGAAGCCCTGCCTCAATAATTGATTAATTAATTAATTAAAATAAAATAAAATTTCACTTGCTCTGACTGGTTCCAAAATAATAACAGGAGTGTGGGAACCCGAACTCTCAAGAAAATGTGATGGACATCTGCTCTCAAGTGCCAATTCATTTCAAAAAATGACTGACAGATGAGCCTTGTGCATGACTCGAAAGCTACACCTAATGACCACAACCTCCATGTTCACAACAACTGATACACTGTGGATTGCTGTCCTGTGTGTGCATGTACACACATGTGGGCACATGAGGAGTCGGAGGTTGACACTGAGATGTCTTTCCTTAATCTCTTCTCAGCCTCATTTTATTGAGACAGGGTCTCTCACTGAACTTCAGGCTCACCATTTCAGCTAGGCTGGCCAGCCAGTGAAGCCCCAGGATCCTCCTGCCTCAGCTCCTCAGCACTGGGGTTACAGGTGTATGTCACCATGCTCAGATAGTCAAGCTCAGGCCTTCATGCTTGCACAGCAAACCCTTCACACCCCGAGCCACTGACACTTCCAGAGTCTCACTTTTGGGTCATTAAAGAACAAAAATCCCCCCCCCTTTTTTTAAACAAAATTTCACTGTGTAACCCTGGCTAAGAACTCACAGAGATCCATCTGCCTCTTCCTCCCAAATGCTGGGATTTAAAGGGGTGTGCCACCAGGCCTGGCCTAATTTATTTTACTGACAGAGACAAGCTGGTGTTAAGTGGATGCAGACAAAGGTGAGGAGCACAGAGGAGTCGGGTTATTAGCAGAGTTGAGAGTACTAAATGTTTGCTTAAGAAATGCTCAGAATCCAGGTTATCATATTTTCCAAGGCTCAATTCTTCCTGGGTTACTCTTCATTCAAAAGATTCTAAGGGGGTAGGGATGGAGAGCTGGCTCAGTAATTAAGAAGGTGCACTGCTCTTACAGAGGACCCGAGTTCAGTTCTCAGCATCTGCACAGCAGATCACAACTCCAGCTCCAGTGGATCCAATGCCCTCTTCTGGACACTTGAGGCACTGCACCCACATGCACTTACCCACATAGGCACAAACATACATGATTAAAAAATAAAATAAATCTTTAAAAACAAAACACAAAGACCCTGGAGACCAAACGGAGAGGAATCCTCTGTTCTTGTGGTCTTCTCTCAACTGGGGCCTGTCTTCAGGCTCCCCTGGAGTGCCAGTTTCTGCTCTGAGCTCCCTACTCCCCACTGTCTTCCAGGTGCTCATTCTTCAAGCATTTTTCTCATCTCTCAATCAAGACTGTCGCTGCAGTGACCAAACAATTCCAGAATGTCTGTGACACTCAGTCCATAGTTAGGTCAGCTGTGGGTGCCACAGGCTGGCGGCTCAACAGAAAGACAACCAAAACTAACTTCTCAGCTAGGTTCAGAAATCACATGACCACAGAGAGTGGCAGAATCCCTTATTTTGACTCGCGTTCCCTTGTATCAGCAAACAGAAACCACTCCGGCTGGGGATAAAAGCTAACCCAGCACTAGGAGGAAGGAAGGTAGTGAGTCACATGATGAGCAGCAACACTCACGAGAAGGGCGGGGTTTAATCGCGGCCTCGGATGAACGACTGATGCTCTGGCTTCCGAGGCTGGCTGTGGCTCTCACTCACACAGCAGCCTGAGGCCCCGCCTGACCACGCCCCCTGCAGTTGTACGGTGACAACAGTCCACCCTGGATCCAATGGCTCCGTCTTCTGAGCACTTGTGAGTTTGTGCCATCCAGTCCTTCTTTGTCACCAGTTTTGAGTTTAAAAAAGGTCGAACTGCCAAAGATGATTCTCTTATCCAAATATCTTTTATTGGAGTAAAATATAAACAACCTTTCTCATCTAGCCCTGCCTCAGTGTTTTTTATTAACTAAGTGCTAAGCATTCGTGTGTCAGTGCAGACAACCCCGGAGACTAAACACTCTGGGGCCCCTAAAATGTGATCACTACCCAAGAAGATAAGTCTCACCCTCACAGACTCAGAGAAAAAAGTTTAACATCATATGACAGCAGAGGTGAGGCCTGGCAGAATTTACACTGGCTCCTTGTGAACTCCAAAGGAGAGAAAAAATTACTCTCGGGTTGACAAGATAGCTCAATGAGTGAAGGCGCCTGCCACCAAGGCTGACGGCCTGCGGCCATTCTGGGACCATGTGAACAGAGAGACAGCCAACTCAGTCCATCCTTGGACCACGTGACCGGGGACACAGCCAACTCAGTCCATCCTTGGACCACGTGATCGGAGGAGACAGCCAACTCAGTCCATCCTTTGACCACGTGATCGGAGGAGACAACTCAGTTCATCCTTGGGACCACGTGATCAGAGGAGACAGCCAACTCAGTCCATCCTTGGACCACGTGATCAGGGAGACAGCCAACTCAGTCCATCCTTGGACCACGTGATCGGAGGAGACAACTCAGTCCATCCTTGGACCACATGATCGGGGGAGACAGCCAACTCAGTCCATCCTTGGACCACGTGATCAGAGGAGAAAGCCAACTCAGTCCATCCTTGGACCATGTGATCGGGGAGACAGCCAACTCAGTCCATCCTTGGACCACGTGATCAGAGGAGACAGCCAACTCAGTCCATCCTTGGACCACGTGATCAGGGAGACAAACAACTCACACACAGTTTTCTGACCTCCACAGGTGCACTGTATCACACATGTGCATGCCTCTACCCCAAACAAATGAATGTAATTTATAAATAAAGAATAAGCCCCAATAATCAAGCAAAACCCAGACTCACTTCTGAAATCTAAAAAGATGTAGTATAGCCAGGTAGTGGGATCATGTGTCCCCTCTAGGTGGAAGCATCTTCTACAACTTCCTGTCACTAGTTCCTCACCCCTGGCCATCACCATGCATGCCAGCCTTCTAGGCTCTAAGACACCCTGTACCAAAGAAATGTCCATCATTGGATCAGAACCTGCTTCTTGTTTTGTGAATATTGGCAACAGTTTGACAAATGCCACTCAAAGATTATCACATGTCCAGAAGTCCATATTTGTAAAGAATTAAGATGTGACAGCCTCCACAACTAACATTTGCCAACGGCAGAATCAAAACAAACAAACACACAAAAAGGCTGCATGGCCTAGTGGCCCACAGTGTCACCTGCAGACTTCCAATGACAGGTGACAGAACTGCAGTCCACGGAGGCCTTTTCTTCTCTAGGGCTGTCACTTAGCGTGCATTCTCAATACCTGGGGGATAGCACACTGGCTGCTGGGTGAGGACATCAGAACCACACATCTTCTGTAACTGTTGAGTTACTCATCTCTTAGAAAACGCCAAAACCTCTCCGACCCCAGGAGCCCACACCTATAGCAATAACCTTCCCCGAGTTACTAACTGATTTATAATTATCTATTCATACCCAACCTGGGCACCCGCTGACAATGGCTTCGATATGTTTCACATTACAAAATGAATTCATACTTAGTACACTCTGGAGTGGACCAAGTAAACCTTCGGAACAAACTGAACGACATTCTATAAAACAAAACCGGGAAGTCGGGCGGGTCTGACCCTTCCTAGCTCAGGACTACACTGAGACAGAGGCATCTTGCAACTGGAGGCCTGAGCCAGACTGGAGCTCGCTAACATGTATGCACTTACCTTAAGAGGAGCTCCTTGGGTAACTTTTTGTTGATGAGGCCGTCATCATTGTTTGAGAAAACCTGCAAGACAGACAGAAATTGAAAACAGTTCTTCAGCCAATGTATGAAAAAAACTAAGTCACGTGTTTTTATACTGGATCAAAACAACACTACTCACTGTCCTACAGAGGAAAAAAAAAAACCTTTGTGACTGGAGTTCAGTTCCCAGCACCCATGTCAGGCGGCTCACAGCCACCTGGAACTCCAGCTCCATAGGACACAACACCGTTGGCCTCGTTGGCACCACCACACAAGTGCATCTACCACCCCAATCACAACAAACACATACACATAACTAAAACTAATAAAAACAAATATTTTTAAAATGGCAACACACAGCCATTTGTGTACTGCATTGTACTGGAGGCTCTGGTAAATATCCAGCAAGAGAAAAACAGAAGACATGATGTACAGCCTCCATTCAAAGACAAGGTATTATAAGAAGACAGCTCTAGAAACCCACAAAGACATATCATAACTCATCAAAAAGTTCATACATTTACAAAAATAAATTTTATACTTTTAAAAATTAATTTTCATTTTAATTATGTATATATGTGTATGCACATCTGAGTGCAGCACTCTAGGAGGCCAGAAGAGGGCGTCAGATCTTCTGGAGCTTGAGATACAGGCAGCTGTGAGCTGTCTGCCCAAAGTGGGTGCTGGGAACTGAACTCCAGTTCTCTACAGGAGTAGCCAGTGCTCTTAACTGCTAAGCCATCTCTCCAGTTTCATGAAAATATATTTCTATACATTAGTAATGGACAACTTGGAAATGAATTCAAGAAAGCAATCAAACTTAACGGCATTAAAATGAATAAAGTACTCAGAAATGAATTTGACAAAATATACATATATATTTATTCCCTATGAGCCTATGGGGCCATTTTCCTCCAAATCATCACACACACTGATACATAAGTTTGAATAATGAGTTTAAAAAAGCCAAATCATTGAAGTATTTTAGTTACATTTATTTCTCTCTCTGTCTCTATCTGTCTGTCTGTCTGTCTGTCTCTCTCTCTCTGTATGTGTATGTGTATCTGGGCTCAAGTGACTGCTGTGTCAACCCCCCCACCCCCACCCCATAGCAGCTGAGATGTGCATGTGCTCCTGTACCTGGCCATAGGATAGATGTTCGTGTGTGTGTGTGTGTGTGTGTGTGTGTGTGTGTGTGTGTGTGTGTGTGTGTGTATATATATATATATATATATATATAGAGAGAGAGAGAGAGAGAGAGGCATTATCGGGAGGTGTGGCCTTGTTGGAGGGAGTGTGTCCTGGGGGTGGGCTTTGGAGTTTCAGAAGCCCAAGCCAGGCCCAGTGTCTCTCTCTTTTCCTGCCGCCTGCCAATCCAGATGTAGAACTCTCAGCTGCCTCTCCAGCACCATGTCTGGAATACCTGCGTGCCACCATGCTTCCCGCCATAAAGACAATAAACTAAATTTCTAAACTGTAAGCCCCAATTAAATGCTTTCCTTTGTAAGAGTTGCTGTGCCGGGCGGTGGTGTCTCACTCCTTTAATCCCAGCACTTGGGGGGCAGAGGCAGGAGGATCTCTGTGAGTTCAAGGCCAGCCTGGTCTACAGAGCTAGTTCTAGGACAGCCAGGGCTGTTACACAGAGAAACCCTGTCTCCAAAAAAAAAAAAAAAAAAAGAGTTGCAGAGTTGCTGTGCCCGTGGTGTCTCTTCACAGCAATAGAAACCCTGAGACAGCCTGCATGTATACAATTGTGTGAGCAGTGCCCACATAGGCCAGAAGAGGGCGTCAGATCACTTGGAATTGGAGTTACAGGGAGTTGTGAGTGGGTATAGGTGCTGGGAACTGAACTCAGGTCCTCTAAAGGAGCAATCTTAACCAGTGAGTCATCTCTCCAGTCCTAAAAAGAGTAAGTTTTTACTACAGAGCCACAGTAACTGAAACACTGAAGTCCTGGTATAATTACCAACAAACAGATGACGTGAACAGAACTGAAAGCCCAGAGAAAAATTCTTTTTTCAGGTTGGTTGCTTTTTGTTTTTTCAAGAGAAACAAGTATTTCTCTGTGTAGCCCTGGCTGTCCCGGAACTCACAGAGATCCACCTGCCTCTGCCTCCTGGGATTAAAGGAGAGTGCTGGGATTAAAGGCATGCACCACCACTGCCTACCACACACCGGCTCAGATACAAACTCTTACATCCAGGAGCCACTGATTTAAATGGGGGGTGCCAGGACAATGGGATCTTCATGAGGACCATGGGGCTGGACTTTTCCTCCACCATGCAGCAGAACTCAGTCCAAGGGGAAGCCTGTGGTGTAAACACAGGGTCACCAACAGCAACAGTCCTCTGTGTTGTGTGTGGACGGACTCTGACAGTTTCCAACTATGATACCCAAACCACATGTAACCAAAAGTGAATGTAGGTAAGGTGAACTTCATTAGATTAAAACCTTCCTGACACAAAGAGCACCATTCAAAAAGTGAAAAGGAGCTGTGTGTGGTGGCACACCCTCCTGTAATCCCAGCACTTCAAAGGCAGAGACAGAGGCAGCAGGATTGACACCAGTCTGAAGCCCCACTAGCCTCTAATGGAAGTTCCAGGCCACACAGGGAGACCTGGCTGGATCGGGGTGGTGGGGACGACAGAGATTCAGAAACAGACGAATACTCATGAATATTTGCAAATAACTTGAAAGGGATCCCAGGACACACAGCAGACCTCTCAACAATAAATAACAAGGCAAGCCAGTGCTGGGGAGAGGCTCAGTGGGTAAGAACACTTACGCAGCAGGCATGAGGACCTGAGTTCAAATCCCCAGCACCCATGTAAAAGCCCAAGCATGGCTGAGCAAGCTGTAACCCCAGCAACAGAGGGTGGTGTTGCAGACAGGAAGATCCCAAGAACTCAGTGACCAGCTGGCCCGGCTGAATGGGGAGCTGCAGGTTCAGTGCAAGATGCTGTCTTGTGGTGATAAGGTAGAGAGCGACAAACAGTCAACACCCTGCTCTGGCCTCTACATGCACAAACATGTGCACCCTCACACTCATGTGTACACACCTCATGACACAACTCACACATATAAGATAGCTCAATGAAAGAACTGGTAAAGAAGCCGGGAATGGTGTGATGTGCCGGTAGTCCCAGCTACCTGGGAGGATGAGGAGAAGGAGTCACTTGAATCATGATTTTGAGACCAGTTGGGCGACATGGTAAGACTCATCGCATAAACAAGGTATACACCTCAGCTGATAGAATGTTTGCCTACACCCTGGTTTTCAACCCAGCACTGCGTAAACTGGTCAGAGTGTGGTCCACCCACAACCCTGGCATTTGGGAGGTAAAGTTGTGGGCATCAGAACATCAGGTTATTCTCAGTTACATAGCAAGCTTGAGGCTGGCCTGCAATACATGAGACACTATCAAAACACACACACACACACACACACACACACACACACACACAGCCCAAATGCTAGCACTAATGGTGGTGCATGTCTTTAGTACCAGCACTCGGGAGGCAGAGGCTGGTGGGTCTCTGTGAGCTCAAGGCCAGCCTGGTCTACAGAGCGAGATCCCGTCCCAACAAACAAACAACAAAACAAATGTCAAACCTCACTACCGTCTGTTAACTCCAGCTCCAGGGGACCCAACGCCCTCTTCTGGCCTTCTCAGGCATCCAGGCTCATGTCAATATACCCACACAAACACAAAATTAAATCTCAAAACAAACAAACAAAAACATCCTGTGGCTGAGGCGATCACAGGTCCTAGCAGGTAATCACTATGACTGTTCTAACAGGAGATAGTGTGCCCACCCGATTCCCTTCCAGACATGCCTGTTTATGCCAGGGATCAGGGCTGCTGCCAGCTTCAGCCCGAGAGGCTTCTTCTTGCAGTGGGTGGTAATTACTGCAGAGACTCATACCTGGTCAGACTGCTGAGAATTCCTGACTGCTGAAAGCTGAGCCCTGAAAGGACACTGATGTCACCCCCTCCCATGCTGGAGGAACACGGTGGACGATGGCGGTGAACGGAGAGGAGGAGCTGGAGGAGGGTGCAGGGCTGTGAATTCTGAACAGGAGAGAGACCACACACTCTGGAGCCGCCAGCAGCTGTGACTGTCTACACACAGTCTTCCTGCAGAAGACCAGTTATCAACACGCTAGCGGAGAGCCAGGAGCAAACCATGGCCCTTTTTACACACACAGTGCGTAAACAAATATAAACAAAACCAGAACTAATCCTGCAAGCTGTCATCAGACAATATTAATAGACAGTTTGTCAGAGAGGGGGAGGAGGGGAGAGATCATTCTTCCTCTGGCTCGGTTGATAAGATACTGAAATTCTTTTTTTTTTTTCCTTTTAATCTTTAGATTTATCTATTTTATATGAGCACTTTGCCCCCATATATGTGTGCACCACATGCATGCCTGGTGCCCACAGAGGTCAGAGGATGGCTGTGAGTCACCATGTGGGTGCTGGGAACCGAACTCAGGACCTCTGGAAGAACAAGTGCTCCTAACCACTGAGCCATCTCTCCAAGCCCCAAACATTGAAATTCTTTAAGATTTATTTTTATTTTATGTGTATATGTATACATTTGTATGAATGTATGTCACATGTGTGTAGTACCCCCGGAGGCTAGAAAGGACCACAGATCCCTTGGAACTGGAGTTACAGACAGCTGTGAGCTGCCATGCAGGTGCTGGGAACCAAACCAGGTCCTTTGCAATTCTTTTTTTCCTCTTTTTTATTTTACATGCATGGGTGTTTTGCCAGTATGTAATGTCTATAATGTACCACTTGCATGCCTGGTGCCTGCAGAGACCAGAAGAGGACGTCAGATCCCCGAAAACTGGAGTTACAGACAGCTGTGAGCAACCACATGGGTGTTGGGAAATAAACTTGGGTCCTCTGGAAGTGTAGCGCATACTTTAGTGTGGAAGGCCTTGGTGTGAAGGTTAAGATCGTGGGCTTTGAAGACCAACTGAGTGAATTCAAGTCCTTCCTTGGCCACTGACCAACTACTGTGGGACTAGTAAGCACTAAATCTAGGTCTACCAAATATGTACAGTGATGTCACTCTCATGGAACTCAGGCTCTCTGGAAGAAAGCTAGAGTGACTGAAATTATTCCCCACCTCACCATCAGGAGCAGGAATCCAGACAACCTACCGTTTACGGTCAATGAACACAGAGATCTCATCCGGTAAGCACCTGTCTCAATCAGCACCTGCCCTCGCAGTGGATTGTGGGTCTCAATCGGCACCTCCCCTCGCAGTGTGGGCAGTGTGGGGATTGCAAGCCTCTGGCATGCCATGCAAGTACGCTACCAATGAGCTACATCCCAAGACCCTTTCATTTTGAGACAAGCTCTCTCTAAATTACTCAAGTTGGCCTTGAACTTAAGATCTTTCTACCATATTCAGTGTTAGGAGCATAGGTGCCAGCAATCCCAGCACCCAGGAGGCTGAGGCAGGAGAATCACCACAAATTCAAAGCTGGCCTAGTCTACATAGTGAGTTCTAGAACAACCAGGGCTGCCTTAAAAGATACACACACACACACACACACACACACACACACACACACACACACACACACACCCACCCCACTGGTAAAGTGTTTGTCACATAGGCACATAGGAATGAGGACCTGGGCTTGATCCCCAGAACCACATAAAACCACCACCACCAAAACCCCCAGCTGTCCCATGGCACGTGCTTTAATCCCGGCCCTGGAGAGAGGTAATCTCTGGGCTCACTGGCCAGCTAGTCTAGACTAATTCAGGTTCTGAGAGAGACTCCCTCTCAAAAAGACAAGGTAGCTGGCACCTGAGGAACACCACTCAAGGCGGACCTCTGGCCTCCACACACACACTCATGCACCTGCACACACATATCCAGAAAAGGCAAAAAAGGCAAAAAAGAAACTTCAGTGTAAAGTGGAAAACTACTATTAAATATTTGAGTTTTCCCCAGTTTCATGTTTCCTAAACCTCTAAGACGACCTGATTACAGACAAAAACAGAAAGTGAGGTGCAAAATAAGGGGAAGAAACAGACAGGATGGAGTCAAATGGAAAAACATGTTATGACATACAATTTAAGAGATGAATCTATCTAGTTAGTTAGGTTAGACAGGGTTTCTCTGTGTAGCTTTGGAGCCCGTCCTGAAACTCGATCTGTAGCCCAGGCTGGCCTTGAACTCACAGAGAGGCATGTGCCACCACCCCCCAGCTCTGAAATAAATTTATTTTATAAGCTGAATTAAACAACAAAACTGGCACCCAGGAAAGACACTGGAGCATTCAGTGTGTGCAAACCAGCCACCGGAGGGCTTCCACAGTGTGTGCAAACCAGCCACCGGAGGGCTTCCACAGTGTGTGCAAACCAGCCACCAGAGGGCTTCCACAGTGTGTGCAAACCAGCCACCGGAGGGCTTCCACAGTGTGTGCAAACCAGCCACCGGAGGGCTTCCAGTGTGTGCAAACCAGCCACCGGAGGGCTTCCACAGTGTGTGCAAACCAGCCACCGGAGGGCTTCCACAGTGTGTGCAAACCAGCCACCGGAGGGCTTCCAGTGTGTGCAAACCAGCCACCGGAGGGCTTCCACAGTGTGTGCAAACCAGCCACCGGAGGGCTTCCACAGTGTGTGCAAACCAGCCACCGGAGGGCTTCCAGTGTGTGCAAACCAGCCACCGGAGGGCTTCCACAGTGTGTGCAAACCAGCCACCGGAGGGCTTTCAGTGTGTGCAAACCAGCCACCGGAGGGTTTCCACAGTGTGTGCAAACCAGCCACCGGAGGGCTTCCACGGTGTGTGCAAACCAGCCACCGGAGGGCTTCCACGGTGTGTGCAAACCAGCCACCGGAGGGCTTCCACGGTGTGTGCAAACCAGCCACCGGAGGGTTTCCACGGTGTGTGCAAACCAGCCACCGGAGGGCTTCCACGGTGTGTGCAAACCAGCCACCGGAGGGTTTCCACGGTGTGTGCAAACCAGCCACCGGAGGGCTTCCACGGTGTGTGCAAACGAGCCACCGGAGGGCTTCCACAGTGTGTGCAAACCAGCCACCGGAGGGCTTCCACAGTGTGTGCAAACCAGCCACCAGAGGGCTTCCACAGCGATCACAGAGGAAAGCGAGGGAGAACAGTGAAAGGGGATGAGGAGGAGCAGGAAAAGAGAGCAAGACTGACAAAAGAGGAGGGCAGAGAGAAGAAACGTTTTTAAACACTGCTGCTTCATCCTGAGGGATAGAAGGCCTTGTGTAAATCAGCTCTGTGAGCCGCAGAGAGCAGATGCCGAGTCCTGAACACAAACTGAGGTGGCGGACAAACTCCCAGAGCTGCCCTAGGCGGAAGTGTGAACCTATCCACAGAACTGCCTGCGCTTGCTAATCCCTCTCATTCAGCTTTGCCACAGGGAAGAATGCAGAGCCGGAGAGCGTGAGGCCTGCCTGCTCTGTTCCTCAGCATCTAACCCAAGGCTGGGGCACGATGACAATCACTCCAGACCACTCAGAACCAACGCATCCAAACAAGAGAAGAAGCCTCACTCCCTACTCCATGGTGTCTCTACAGGAGGACACTGAGTACCCTGCAGTACAATCGGCTTGTGTACAGTGTCTGTCAACTCAGTGATGAGGAGACCGTGGGTAGAGAAACAGGAAGAGCCCCAGAGCCCCAGGCTCAGTAAGGGACCCTGTCAGAAATGAGGGATGCAGGAAGACATCCAGTCATTGACCTCTGGACTTCACACCATCACCTACACGCATGCATTTGGATACACGCGCGCGCACACACACACACACACACACACACACCCCAAGCAAATATCCATCTAACTATTCATAGTAAACACATTTCCTTTACATTTTATTATTTATGTGGAGGAAACACCCTGTACAGAGGTCAGAGGAAAATTTACAGGAAGGACTCTCTGCTCCCACACGTGGGTCAGGAATATGGAACTCGGGTTGTCAGGATTGGCAACACGTGCTTTTACCCACCGAGCCATCTCAACAGCCCTCTAGATACGTATTTCTTAAAATCAGGCACGTCTCTATTAGCTAACCCTCAAATATTCTACACCCGGGGTGTGTCACGAACCAGGGAGCTCACTTCTTTTGTATGGATGGAGACCTCTCAAGAAATCACACCTGAACCTTGCCCGTTTAAGTCAGCACGCAGGCCAAGTCAATTAAGGCTTTAAACAAGAAGTTAATGGAGGCCAGGTGGCATGCCCACAGCCTTCCAAGTTTATTGAGCAAAGCTAACGGCTTAAAGTGTTTACAACGTACTAATGACAGATTCATTAAATCCCTCACTGAGAGAGAGTGCAACACTCAGAAGAAAGAAAGGAAAAAAAAGTCCAGTTCAAGGTCCCCCATTTTTACAAAAGGGGGAAAGGGGTCTTTCTGAAGCCACCCATTAAATCCCCCTGGGCTAGGAGCCCCGTCAGGACGCTGAACTTGAAACAAATGTGTGGTACGGTACTGACATCATTGCATAAAAGCAGCCTGAAGTACGCAGACTGAGGAGTGTGGCTGTGGGCATCTATGTAACCACACCCTCTGGTGGCTTCCCGGGCACGCTCGGGCCGAACAGCGTCACGGCGTCGGGGTGGTCCACCGAGTGGAGGTGCCGGGTGTGTGATCCAGACACGGAGCATCAGAAAGCACAGCGTCCCGGGGCCCGGCATCCAGGACCCGGGGACCTGGGGTTTCCTTCTTCAGGACCAATCCGATGCCCCCTGCCCTGCCCTGCCCTGCCCGGCCTCACCCGGCCCTGCCCTGCCCAGCCCGGCCCTGCCCCGCCCGGCAGGCTTTGGCTCTTCTCCGCACCCTCCCCTAGGCGCCCCGCATCTCCGCTGCCCCGCGAGCGAGCGCGGGCCCCAGACTCACCATGGCCGCGAGCGCGCCCACAGCCCCGAGTCACACGGCGCCGGCGACGCCCGTTGTCCTGGTGACGCCAGCCCGGCGCCCCGCCCCGGCCTCAAGGTGGGCTCGGAGACGGCCATTGGCCCACGTCCGCCACGTGATCTGTAGGCGCGCCCTCCGGCCCGCCCACTTCTCCTGGCCCCACGCAGCTCTGAGGCGGGGCCTGACTGCCTTGGGGCTCCACCCCTGGTCCTTTCTCATCACCACAGCATCACCTTGACGCCCTCGCAACCGACAGGTGGCCCAGCCACGCACTGTGCGGAGCAAGACACCTTTGTGGATCCTCTCTACTAGGAAAACAAAAACAAACAAACTACGACAGAAACCCAAACTGTTGGAGCTGGGGATGTGACTTAGTTGGTAGACTGCTTGACTAGAGTGCATGAAGCCCTGGGTTCCACCCCCAGCACCACATAAAGCCAGCGTGGTGGTGCACACCGGGGAGGTGGAGGCTGGAGGACCAGAAATCCAAGGTCATCCTCAGCTACATAGAGAGTTCGACGTCAGCCTTTCGTCTTGAAAGAAACAAACACCATTACCTAAGAGGCCGTTTTAAATGACCACGGTAAATGGCAGCACCTGAAATGGTCACGGCTGGTATTCCAATCTGATTGCTTGCATGCTTCCAATCAAATACATAGCGAAGCATGCATTTATTCTGAAAGCTACTTTTGTCTATTAAAAATGACTCCCCGCCAGGAGGTGGTGGCGCAAGCGTTTAATCCCAGAACTCGGGAAGCAGGGGCAGGCAGATCTCTGGGAGTCCGAGGCCAGTCTGGTCTACAGAGTGAGTTCCAGGAGAGTCAGAAGCTGTTACACAGAGAAACCCTGTCTTGGGGAAGTGAGGGGGACAGAGCGGGGGTGGGGATGGGGGGACAGATGACTATCCTTAAACTGGTGTGCAGTGGTTAAGGTGAAGTACTAAATGCTTGGGAGACCGAGGCAGAAGGATCCCTTGAGTCCAGAGTTCAGAGCAAGACTGATCAACACAGAGAGACACCCCTCTCCATCTCAAACACATATGTGTAATCTTAGCAGGTCCATTAATGATGTTGCTTAACATGCGTAGCTTCTAATTTAGTAAATCAGACAGCAATTTGTTAGATGTTTTTCATGTGGTTGATTGTGAGCCTAACCTTTAATGACTGAGCCAACCCTCCAGCCCTTTAATGTGACTGAATAAAATTTAGATATTCCCAGATCCGGCCGGTCAACCTGGTGGAGAAGAAACATTTGGTCTGAGGTCGTAGCCCAGCTGGTAGAGTGCTTGCCCAGCACCCAGGAATCCTGGTTTCGACCCATAGTGCTGCACAAACCTTTATGATGCTCATGCACACTAAGCTGAAGGGTCAGCAGTCCCAGGTCATCCCTGCTGCTGTGTAGTAAATCTCAAGCCAGTCTGGGCTCCGTAAGACCCCATCTCAAAAATAAATAAGATAAACAAAAATCAACAATCAACCTGCCATCTCCCCTGGAATGTCTGATAGAATCCCCGACTTTACAGGGCCCAAGGTTCTGGCTTTCCCATCTCCCCAATCCCAGCAAACAATCCTCCTGTCCCCTGGTTGCTCCCAACAAATTGTCCTTAACGTCCCTTTTTCCCCTTTGACCTCACTTCCCATCTATTAACAAACATTCTCTTTACCTTAAAAAACATGGGGGCCTGGTAGTTCACACCTTTAATCCCAGCACTCGGGGGAGGCAGAGGCAGGCAGATCTCTGTGAGTTCAAGGCCAGCCTGGTCCACAGAGAGAGTTCCAGAACAGCTAGGGCTACACAGAGAAACCCTGTCTCCGAAAGACAAACAGCAACAAAAACATGTCCTCAGAGGCTGGGGGCGCGGGGGAGGGGGGCCCAGGTAGTCTAATGCTTGCTGCACAAGCATGAAGACATGACTTTGATCCCTAGATCACATGTGTAAGAGAGAAAAAAGTCAGTCATCGGGCCCTGTGTTTGTAATCCCAGTGATGTGAAATCAGAGACAAGAGATCCCTGGAGCTTGCTGGCTACTTGGTGAGACACTATGTGACACCTTGTCTCAAAAACAAGGTGAACAGTGCCTAAGGAACACCCAAGGATGTCCTCTTGCTTTCACATGCATGTGCACACACGTGTGCAAATACACACAATGTAACCACACAAACATGCACACACATACCCATTATAGATACAGCTGTAGATATAGTAAGTACGTATATTATCTGTATCTTGAAAGTCTACTTTCTCAGACTTACACTCTTACCAACACCCTTGTCTAAATGTGTCTCTTTGTGCTGCAGTCTGAACCTCTGTGTCCGAAACTCACGTTCAGATTTAATCTGTTTCCCTGCATGAAAAGACGGTGGCCTAGAGGGGCTTCATTTTGCAGTGGGAACAATGACTCATCCCCTAAACGGGACTGGAACTTCCAGAGCCATAAGAAACACACTTCTACTAAGAATGACCCCGCCTGTGGCATTTTGTGATAGCAGCACCGTCAGACTAACACACTGCGCGACCTGTCTTCCCTCCCCTCCTGTACACAATGGTGGGGTTCCAGGGGTTTCTCTGGCAGGTAGGACTAAAGAAAACACGCCAGCTCTTCCATCTGTGGTCAGTTACTCCCCTCTGGCTGTGATGAAATGCCCCAGTAAAAGCACCTTCGGGAAGGAAAGGTTCCTTTTGCCTCACAGTCTGAGGATACCATTCATTATGACAGGAAGACGAAGCAGCAGAAGCCTGGGGTAGCGCCTCACATTGTCACATTGTCACAGTCAGGAAGCTGTGGGGGCAGGCTGGTGCTCACCTTGCTTTCTCTTTTTATTCAGGCAGGGACCACAGCTCACGGAAGATCACTCGAAGTGAGGATGGGTCTTCCCATGTCAAATAACGTAATGTAGAATCCCCTCACAGATGTGCCCAGAGGTTTGTCTCCTGGGTGGCTCTGGACCCTGTCAAATGGACAACCAGTATTAACCAATATTAACCATCACAATCAATAAGCCCCTACATGCTCAGGGGCACATATGTTCCACTCACTGCAACTGCTGTTTCCACACATGACAAAGACTTTCAGACTGCTTGTGCTAAAGGAAAGAAATCACGTGACTGAGCTGCGAATGTCTGTAGAGGTGGGATGGATAAGTAAATGCAGTAGAGAGGCTTGGCCACATGCCTCCATCCCCTCCACTCTGTGTCTGTCCTCCTACAGTCTTCTTGGATTGCAGGGACAGCTGATCTGAGAGATCACCAGCTCAGAAGGGAGTGGAGTCCACCCCTAGGCAGGGACACTAAGGCCCCACCTGACCCTGAGATGATGATCGGCTGACCCCTGATGATGATATGTGGTTTTTGCCTCCTGGACGACAGAATCTTGAACAAGATCTTTGCAGCCTGCTGAGGACGTTGCTGCAGATGTCACTGTTGCCTTTCCTGTTTGGTTGCTGGGGTGAGTGTATGGACCTGATCTGTTGGGGCCTCTCAAGAGTCAGGCCTCGCCGGGCGGTGGTGGCGCTCACCTTTAATCCCAGGCAGAGGCAGGAGGATCTCTTTGAGTTTGAGGCCAGCCTGGTCTCCAAAGCGAGTTCCAGGAAAGGCGCAAAGCTACACAGAGAAACCCTGTCTCGGAAAAAAAAAAAAAAAAGAAAGAAAAAAGCGTCAGGCCTCTGACACAGGACTTCATTAACACCTCCACACTAGCTCACTTTATTTCCCAAGGACCCTCAAACCTGCTAAACGCTAGTGACCAGCCTCTGCTTCCTTCCCTGCCTTACACAGGGTCTGGCTGTGTAGCCCAGGCTGGCCTGGAGCTCATGGAACTCTTTCCACCTCAGCTTCCCACTATGCCCATCTCACTTACTGCTTACATCTTAACATACACGGCTGAAGGCCTGGATGGTGGCATGTCTGCGGCCCTGGATGGTGGCATGTCTGCGGCCCTGGATGGTGGCATGGTCTGCGGCCCTGGATGGTGGCATGGTCTGCGGCCCTTGTGGATGATTATCCTGGTCCTTCCTGATCTGAGGGGATATTTGTATGTGCTTAAAAAAATGTGCACCTCAGTCAAACACATACTATTTACTAAAGCTACCATATTTACAAGCTCGGGCCGCTCACTCAGCTATTCCAATTTTGTAAATTTACTATTACTGATACATGGAAAGGGTATTTCTAAAACTACTATAGATGGTCTATACCAGGCTTATTCTTTTTTTTTTTTTCAGTGCTTTATTGGGGGGGATGGAAGAGAGAAACCAGGCCTAGGGGGAGACACATGTGGAGAAAGAGAGAGAGAGAGAGAGAGAGAGAGAGAGAGAGAGAGAGAGAGAGAGAGAGAGAGAACAGAGAGGAACCAGGCTTTTTCTTTTGGGCCACCAACCAGCGTTATGACACAGAGACTTGTTATTAGGTATGAATGCTCAGCCTTAGCTTAGGCTCATTTCTTGCTAGTTCTTCCCCCCCACCACCACCACCAAGACAGTGGTTCTCTGTGCAACAGCCCTGGCTGTTCTGGAACTAGTTCTGTAGACCAGGCTGGCTTCGAACTCACAGAGATCTGCCTGCCTCTGCCTCCCAAGTGCTGGGATTAAGGTGTTCACCACCACCACCTGGCTTTCTTGCTAGTTCTTATAAATTAATTTAACCTGTTTCTTGTGGTGATATTTTGTTTGTGATCTAATAAATAAGCTTGCCTGAAGATCAGAGTGAGGAGCTAAACCACTAGTTAGTCATAGAGGCCCGGCAGTGATGGCACATACCTTTAATCCCAGCACTCGGGAGGCAGAGGCAGACAGATCTCTGTGAGTTCAAGGCCACCCTGGGCTACACAAGATTGATCCATTCTAAAAGAGAAAGAAAGCCAGGCAGTAGTGGTACACAGCTTTAATCCAAGCACTTGGAATCTCACGCCTTTAATCCCAGCACTAGGGAGGTGGAGATAGGAAGTGATATGACTGGGCAGAGAGAGGAATATAAAGTGGGAGGAGACAGGCGCTCGGCTCTCTTTCAGGCTGAGGATTTCGTAGAGGTAAGAACTGGTGGCTGGCTGCTCTGCTTCTTTGATCTTTCAGCTTTCG